TCATCATCATCATCATCATCATCATCATCATCATCATGGTCGTCCTCGTCATCGGTATCATCATCTGGGTGGCGGGGTAGAAGGGAGGATGAGGATGAGGAGGAGGAGAAGAAACAGCAGCAGTGAGGAGGAGGAGGAGGAGGAGGAGGAGGAGGAGGAGCAACAGCAGCCGGGAGGAGCAACAGCAGCAGGGAGGAGATAGAAGAGGGATCCTCCTCCTCCTCCTCCTCCTCCTCCTCCTACTCCTCCGCCCCCGCCTGCCGTAGGGGCTCGCAGTCCCGGCTCTTCTGTGCCGAGTGGCCTGAAACTGCGCACCCTTCTCGGACACTTGGGAGGAGCAGGAAGAGGAGGAGCATGAGGAGCTGCGCCAGAGCAGCAAGAGGAGGGGGAGGAAGATCCTCCTCCTCCTCCTCCTCCTACTCCTCCTACTCCTCCGCCCCCGCCTCCCGCAGGGGCTCGCAGTCCCGGCTCTTCTGTGCCGAGTGGCCTGAAACTGCGCACCCTTCTCGGACACTAGGGAAGAGCAGGAAGAGGAGGAGCATGAGGAGCTGCGCCAGAGCAGCAAGAGGAGGGGGAGGAAGATGAGGAGCAGCACAGAAGCAGGAAGATGATGAGCAGCAGCATGGGGATGAGGAGAAGTAGCAGCAGCAGCAGCAGCAGCTCATCATCATCATCATCATCATCACCATCATCATCATCATCATCATCATCATCATCATCATCATCATCATCATCATCATGGTCATGATCATGATCATCATCACCATCGTCATGACCATAATCAACAGCATCATGAACTTCATCGTCGTCGTCAACATCATCCTCCCCTCTCCGCATGCCCTCTTGCCGCCTCCTAATCTTTCTTTTTTATGTGCAGAGGGTCCCCAGTGCAAGCGGCCTCAAACACAGCGCGTTGCCCAAGAACGCTGGGTAAACCAAGGACACACAGAAACACCACAACTGTTGCGCGCACCGGCACGCCACGAACGCTACGTGACAACGGAGGGCCGCATGTCTATGGACGAACCAGAGCCAAAAAAGCAACAACAAAACAAATTGGCGCTAGCTTCCCCTAATTAGGGACACTGAAAATAAGGCAGTTTTCGTCGTGCCGAGGACGCAATCGTTCCGCCCCGGCTTTTAACCTGCGGGCGCACGCCAGATTGAGCGCGCACTTGACTTCATCGGAAGAGGCCAGCCCAAACCGATTACGGCTGTTATGCACGATTACAGCTTGGCACCTCCCCTCCGTCAAGTGTAGCAGTTTTACGTCATGCCTGGGACGGCGATGCATATGCCGATGCCGATGCCGATGCTGACGCTGTCGTCGCCGTCGCCAGCGCCCGTGCCGCCGTCGTCGTCGTCGTCGTCGTCGTCTTCGTCGTCGTCGTCGTTCGTCGTCGTCCCTTCGTCGTCGTCGTGTCGTCCACAGGGGGGGGGGCCACCGCAGCGCAGCACCACGCCACGCCCACAGGGGGGGCCGGGGGGGACCATCGCGCCGGGGGGGGGGGCCCAATGGCATCAGCATTGGGGGGGGGGGGGGCCCAAGCCCTGGACCACATTATTTCCCTGGACCTCTCCTCCTCCTCCTCCTCTTTCCCCCTCTCCTCCTCCTCTCTCCTCCTCGTTCCCCCTCCCCCTCCTCTTCCGTGCTCCTCCTCTTTCCTCCTGTATCCTCCTCTTCCTCGTCTCTCCTCCTCCTCCTCCTCCTCCTCCTCCTCCTCCTCCTCCTCTCTCCTCTCTCTCCCCTCCTCCTTCTCCTCCTCCTCCCCTCTCCCCCTCCTCCTCTATTCTCCTCCTCCTCCTCCTCCTCTTCCTCCTCATCCTTCTCCGTCTCCCCATAGACGCGATACTTCAAACATGCGCGTATCTGCTATGCAGTGCTTTGCTATTATATGCGATGCTACACAATGCTATGCCTCAAAAACCAATGCAATGCCATGCTAATTATGATATGACATGCGATGCTATGCGATGCTATGACGTGTTATGCAGTGCTATGCGATGCTGTGATGCAATGTTATGCAGTGCTTTGCTCTGCCATGCTTTAATATGCTATGCAGTGCCATGCTATGATACGCTATGAAGTGCGATGGAGGAGGCGGCCACTACCTTGAGTACCATTGAGGTCAGCTCAGGCGGAGGGCGGAGGAAAGTTGGCGGAAGGACGGCGGAAGGGCGGCGGAAGGGTGGCGGAAGGGCGGCGGAAGCGCGGCGGAAGGGCGCGGCGGAAGTGCGGCGGCAGGGCGGAAGGGCGGCGGAAGGGCGGCGGAAAGGTTGCGGAAGGACAGCGGAAGAGCGGCGGACGGGTGGCGGAAGGGCGGCGGAAGGGCGGCGGAAGGGTGGCGGAAGGGTGGCGCAACGACGGCGGAAAGGCGGAAAGGCGGCGGGGGGCGGCGGAAAAGCGTTGGAAAGATGGCGGACTTCCCGAGCCGTCACGGAATGATTTCCATGGAATTCCTGCAAATCCTGGAAATAGAAAGACTAGAATCCAGAAATTGAGGAAAAGCCGAGACGCCAGGAACCCAGGAATCGTTGAAACTCGAAGATTTCCTGGGATCCATAGAAATCAAAGAATCTATAGAACCCCCGAACTGTAGGAAATCAGAAATCCAGGAACGCGGCATGCGGAATCCAGGACTTTGGAAATCTCAAGAATCCAGAGAAACCGAGTAGTAATCCTTTAGGAATCGTTCGGAATCTCCTCGGAATCCTAATGGGTCCTTAGGAATCCCGTCGGAATCCTTCGGATCCCCAGGAATCTGTAGGAATCCCTGGGGAATCCCCAGGACCCCCTGAGGAACCTTCGGAATCCTCATGGCCCCCTGAGGAACCGCTGGGAATCCTGAGGGTTCCCTCAGGAATCATCGGGGATCCTTTGGAACCCGCATGAACCCCTCAGGAATATCTGAGAATTCTTGGGGGTCCGGAGGGGTGGGTGCGAAACGGTGTACATAGTATGGTATTCCGATGCCCTGCCCGCTCTGTCGGGGCCTCCCTTGTCCCCCTTTTTCCTATCCATTTTCTCTCCCTTTCCCCTCCCTTTTTCAATGTTCCATCGCTTTTCCTCCCCATGTCCTTCCATTTTCCCTCCCGTTTTTCTTTCCTTCCCCTATCCTATCCCTCCTTTTTTCCCTCCCATTTTCCTTCCCTTTTTCCCTGCCTTTTTCCGTCCCTTTTCCTTTCCTTTTTCTTTATATGTTTTATTCCTTTTCACTCCCTTATCCCTCCCGTTTTCAATTTCTTTTCCCTCCCGTTTCCTCACCAATCCTTCCATTTTCTATCCTTTTTCGTACATGTTCCCTCCCGTTTCCCTTCCTTGTCCTTTCTTTCCCTACCGTTTCCCCTTCCTTTTCCTTCCTTTCCCTACCGTTTTCCCTCCCATTGTCCCTTCCTTCCCTTTTCCCTCCCTTTCCCGTTACTTTTTCCATATCTGTTCCCTTCCTTTTCCTCCCCTGTCCTTCCCGCCCTTTCCCCTGCCTTTTCCTTCCGTTTCCCTCCCTTCCCCCCCCCTATCCTTCCCTTTTCTTTCCCTCCCCCCCCCCCCCCCTATCCTTCCCTTTTCCTTCCCTTTTCCTTCCCTGTTCCCTCCCTTTTTCTTTCCTTTTCCTTTCCCTCCCTTTTTCTTGTCATTTCCCTCCCTTTTCCCCCCTTTTCCCTCCCCTTCCCTCCCTTTCCCCCCCCTGTCCTTGCCTTTTCCCATAATTTGGTCCATCTCTTGTTCCATCCCGTTTTTTCCCTTTCTTTGCCCTCATTTTTCCCTCCCTTTTCCTTCCCTTTCCCTCCCTTTTTCGACCTCTTTTCCCTCCCTTGTTCCCTGTCTTTTCCCTCCCTTTTCCCTCCCTGTTTCCCTCTCTCTTCCCTCCCTTTTCCTTCCCTTTTTTCTTTCCTTTTTCCAACCCTTTTCCTTCCCTGTCCTTCCCTTTTGCAACCCTCCCTTTTCGCTTTTTCCCGGGCCGAATGAAGGGCAGGGGCGGCCCGCGGAATCAATTAACTCCGGAGTTAAGTGATTTTGCGGCCGGGCGGAAGCAGCACTCATAGAGTGACTTAACTGCGGAGCTAAGTCGTCGTGAAAGTGGTAGCAATACAAAATGAGAAAATCACTTAACTTCGGAGTTACGTGATAATTACCTTCCTGGTTTCAGTGTTTTTCGGGGTAGGGGAAGGGGAAAACCCCTCCCCGAAGGGGTAGAAGGGGTTGTGGAAGAGGAACAAATTACATCGTTAGACCAAACAATCGCCGAACAGAGGGCTGGTGGGAGATCGCCGAACAAGGTCAATCAACGACTGTAAGTGACGATGCCATGCAATGCCAGGCGATGCCAATCACTTCCAACCACCGCCAAGCACTGCCAAACAATGCCAAGCAATGTCAAGCAACGAGTCAAAGCGGTGCCAAGCAATGTCAATCAACGACTCCGAGTAACGATGCCGTGCAATACCAATCAGTGCCAAGCGCTGCCAAGCACTGCCAACCAATGCCGAGCAATGCCAAGCAAAGCCGAGCAGCATGACCAAGCCACGCCACGCAACGCCAAACAGGACCGAGCACTGCCGGGCGGCGCCGCGCAAGAGGCAGGCCGCGCCGAGCGGTGCCCTGCATTGCGGTGCTGCTCGTTGCCCAGATCTGCTCCTGGGCCGCTGGAGAAGGAAGGGGGGGCTCCTGCTCGGGGTCGCGCCGGGCCCACGTCTGCCGAGGAGGAGGAGGAGGAGGAGGAGGAGGAGGAGGAGGAGGAGGAGGAGGAGGAGGGCCCACGTCTGCCGAGGCGCTTTGGCGGCCCTGGCCGCCACGCCACGGCCAGCTCCGCCCCCGAGGGCCCGCCTCCCGCGCCCCAGGCAGCGGGCTCTCGGGAGCCGACCCCGGGCGGCGACGGCCGCGCTCCCGCGGCGTTTTGGCCCGCCGCCGACGAGGGCGCGGACGACGGCGACGACGGGGGCGCAGCTGCTGCCGCCGACGCCGACGGCGGCCCGCCAGCCGAGCTCCCCCTCGCCGCGCGGAGGCGGCACGGCGGGGCCGACGGGCAGCTCCCGCAGTGGAGCCGGGGCGCCCCTGCCGCCAGGGCGCGCCGCCGCGCCTCTGGTCGCCGCGCGGCGCCGCGCGCGCGCGAGGCCGTCGGAGGCCGTGGGAGGCCCTCGGGTGGCCCTCGGAGGCATGCGGAGGTCCTCGGAGGCGTTCCTGAGGCCCTCGAGCGCCTTCCTGACCTCGGATTCGAAGGCTTCGGCCCCTATAGGTGCCCCCGCGCGCACGCCCCGCCGGTCCGCCGGTGGCGCTCTTCTCATCCTTCTGCTCGTCGTCGGTGTTCGGTGCTCTTCGCCGTGAAGCGCTCGAAGCCGGCCTTCATCCTTCCACCCTTCCCCTTTTCCCACCCCTCATTGTTGCTCCTCCTCTTCTGGAACTCCATTCCCGGGTTCACCATCGGTCCTTGAAAGTAGGTGTTTCGGATTCTCATCTTGCAATCTCCTCTAGGCGCCTTCCTACCTCAATCCTCGCGCGGTCTTTCTTTTTCCTTCCTCTTTAGGGGGCGGGAGTGCACCCGACCTACTTGCACTGCCTTCCCACTTCATGTTTCTGCCCGTCTCTTGCGACCGGTGGGTAAAGATCCCGTCCCTGGAGCGGGGCCGAGAGCTCCGGGAACCCACGCCAAGGAGAATCAGGAGGGAGAAAACACACACACAGACACAATTCATCGTCGATGCCCCGGAAAATACGGGAGAGTATGGGAAGCGGGGGGGAAGACGAGAGTCCCCAAAATATTGAAAAACATGGGGGATCCTTTTATTTGTGTGTACACCTTAGGCGATGCTTAAGAAAACCTATTTTTTTGGCCAGAGTCTTGATTATTCTTAATGTTTCAATGTAAATCCTAAGATTTGAGTGGAAATTTTGGGTTTTTAGTCGATTTCTGAGACTACGAATTTCTTAACCCATGATTTCTTAAGCATCTCGCAGGGTGTATTTGTTTGTGTGTCCCAGGGCCCCTTTAGAAAAGACGACGCCAGAGGCCTGGGGGGAGAAGGATTCTGCTCCACCGCGCGGGGAGTCCACGCGCGCAGCGGCCGGTCCGTGGCCCACTCGCAGCAGGGTGCCCTGCGGCAGGCGCGCAGAGGAGAGAGGCCGAGCGGCAAGAGGGACAGAGGCAGCAAATAGTCAGAGTGAGGAGAGGGAGGAGGAGGGGGAGGGCGGAGGAGGAGGGAGAGGAGGAGGAGGAGGAGGAGGGAGGGAGGAGGAGGAGGAGAGAGGGAGGGGGAGGAGGAGAGGGAGGAGGAGGAGGGGAGGAGGAGGAGAGAGGAGGAGGAAGAGGAGGCAGAAAAGGGGGGAGGAGGCCGAGAGGGGACGCTGCAAGGGTCAGGGGCAACGATAGGGGGGACAGGCGTAGGGGGGACGCGTCGACCCTCGATCGCCGATTGATTACCGACAGCGGCCCGATAGCCCCAGCTTGCCCAGGAAGGTTCGGATCAGCAGTCGGTGGCCTGTCGCCGATCTGGCGACGCATCGCCGGTTCGGAGGTCGACGCTCCCCCCCTCCCCTCCTCCTCCTCCTCCTCCTCCTCCTCCTCCTCCTCCTCCTCCTCCTCCTCCCCCTCCTCCTCCTCCTCCTCCTCCTCCTCCTCCTCCTCCTCCTCCTCCTCTATGCCAGTTCCCCCTTCCTCGTTGCCACTCAAAGGGGGGTCAAGGGTCTGGGAGGGGCTGGGTGGGCTCTCTGGCCTCTTTGCTGGCCTAAGGGCCTGGCAGCGGCCTGGAGTCCGAACTCGTGAGAGAGCGCTGAGGCTGCGAGCATCACGACGTCTGAGGTCTGGGTCTCGACAGGTCCGCGGAGGCCTCCATCCAGAGGTCCCCCGTGGCCCCCAGAGGCTCTGAGCGGGCCGAGGCCGTGCCCCGACCGAGCTCCTCGACTCTCGAACCTCCTCGATCCGCCCCTCCCCCCCCGCCGCTGCAAACAAGCGAGGCAGCAGCCAAGGCGCGCCGACCTCCTGCGTGCCCTCTTCCCTGTTCTGCTGCGCAGTGGTCTGCGCTTGAGAAGGCGGGCCCCTCGAGTCAGACAGGCCCAGGGCGTGCCGACGGAGGGCCTCGTGTTCTTGAAGGGACGCTCTTCTGGCCACGCCCCCGAGGGAGGACGGCCGCGAGGCCCGCTCGCACGCGGGCGCGCGGAGATGCCCCCTGGGGGGCCAAGGGGCGCTGCAGACTCCGTCGAGTCAGACGCCCTCAGAGCGTTCCGAGGAACGCTCCGAGGGCGTTCTGAAACGCCCCGGAAAGCCCTGCGACGGCCGCGGCGCCCGCGACTGCAGCCTCCGGGACCGCCGGCTCTCGGAGCTCCCCGACTTATGTCCCAGTCCGACCTTTGCCCGATCGTGTGGAGGAGGAGGAGGAGGAGGAGGAGGAGGAGGAGGAGGAGGAGGAGGAGGAGGAGGAGGAGGAGGAGGCAGGAGGAGGAGGAGGAGGAGGAGGAAGAGGAGGATGAGGAGGAGGAGAAGGAGGAGGATGAGGAGGAGGAGAGGATCAGGAGGAGGAGGATGAGGAGGAGAGGAGGATGGATCAGGAGGAGGAGCAGGAGGAGGAGGAGCAGGAGGAGGAGGAGGAGGAGGAGGAGCAGGAGCAGGAGAAAGATGATGAGGATGAGGAGGAGGAGGAGCAGGAGGAGGAGGATGAGGAGGAGGAGAAGGAGGAAGAGGAGGGAGGAGGAGCAGGAGGATAATAATAATGTTAACAGTAATAGTAAACGTAGTGTTGTTAGTATTTTTATGCTTCTGATTGTTCTTATCACATTATTAGTATTGTTGTTGCTGTTGTTGTTGTTGTTGTTGTTGTTGTGGTTGTTGTTGTTGTTGTTGTTGTTGTTGTTGTTGTTGTTGTTGTTGTTGTTGTTGTTGTTGTTGTTGTTGTTGTTGTTGTTGTTGTTGTTGTTGTTTTTTCTTTTCAAAATATTATGATTATTAAAATTATCATTATCATTATTGTCATTTTTTATATATAATTATTCTATTCTATTATTGCTATTATTATTATTACTATTATTATACTTAATAATACTATTACTCATAATACGATGGCTGCTAAGAATAATGATACTATTCTTAATACTATTAATGATGCTACTAATTGTAGAAATAGTAATACTACGATTCATACTAGTAATACTCGTAATGGTACTAGTAGTACTAATACTACGACTAATAATCAGAAGAATAACAGCAATATGAATACTAAAAAGATAAGGAAGAGCAGGAGGAGGAGGAGCAGGAGCAGTAGGAAGATGATGATGCTGATGATGATGATGAGGAGGAGGAGGAGCAGGAGGAGGAGGAGGAGGAGGAGGAGGATAATGAGGAAGAGGAGGAGGAGCAGGAGGAGAAGAAGAAGACGAATAAACATATTACCAATAACAACAATATTATCAATCATATCTGTATTACTACTAATACTACTACTACTAAACATAATCACAATGATCATAATACTACTCATAATTTTAACAATGAAACTAATCATAAGGAGGAGGAGGAGGAGGAGGAGGAGGAGGAGGCGGAGGAGGAGGAGCAGGAGGGATGCCTTCGCCGTGACGCGATGCCCGGTCGGGCGCTGTGGCGCTGCGCCCCCGGCCCCCGCCGTGGGCGCGGGCTCCGCAGAGCGGCGGCCTCGCCGCCCCTCGCGGCCCCTGCCGCCCGCGCCCAGGCCCAGCTCCTGGGGCCGCCCCCGAGGCGGGCCCGGGGCACGGCCGTGTCCGAGGCCTACAGCGACTACCCGGGGGAGTCGGTCGGCTCGGGCGCTCGGGCTCTCCCCAGATCCCCTGCGAGCAGGGGCAAAACTAGCAGGACGGGAAGTTTTCCCCGTAGTTTTTTCGGCCTCTGGAGGCCCCCAATGGGGCCTCGGGGCCGTTGAGAAGCGGCTCGGCACGCGAAGCTGGTCCCAGGGAGACAGGGTCCAGACTTCTGGGGGTCGACGTCGTGAAAAAGCACGACGTCGGGGCTCGGGTAGGGGGCTTTTTGAGGGGGAGGGTGGGGTTCACTTTGCTCGTGACCTCCCGAACGAAGTGAACCCCACCCTCCCCCTCAGAAATCGTGGGGGGTATAGGGGTAGGGTTCGCAGGTGGCCCCCTCTCGGGCTCTGGGCCTCCCAGATGGGGTCGGAGTGGAGGGGGTCGGATGGTCGCGCCGCATCGCCGACGCATCGGCGATGCGGCTCGGTGCGGAACCCGATTTTCTCCACGCCGATGGCGCCAGCGCGATGCGCGACCGTCCGACCCCATCGGCTCGGACCCCATCTAGGAGGTCTCCGTGGACGTCGCGCAGCGGGGGGGCGATCCGTGGGGGGTTGCGAGGGCTGCAGGAAAGGGGCCCTCTGGGGCCCGAAAAGGGAACCTTGCCCCCCCCCCCTCCCCCGCCGTGAAGCGACGCCCACAGGGGCAGCGTCGACAGTGGGCCTCCGAACGGGTGTGGTGACCATTCTGGTGGTGAGTCAGTGGGGCTTGAGTGCGGGGCCCAACATTTTACACCACCACCACCTCCCTCACCCCCTCCCTCCCCCAGGAAGGAGGAGAGAAGGAGGAGGGCGGAGGAGGGAGGGGGAATGGAGGTGGTGGTGGTGGTGGTGTATATTCTTGAGGCCCGCGTGAGGGTCACCGCGCGGTTTTGGGGCTCGGGCCGTTTCCCGAGGACGTCTCGGGCGGCTGGGGCTTCCGGGGTCCCAAGACCGTGCGTTGAGGGACCGTGCGGTGACGTCGTTGGGGATTCCAAGGTCACGACGCGGTCCCTCACCACACGGTCTTGAGGCCCCAAAGTTAGGGGGGGTCGGCTCTGAGGTGGACTCTTCCGGGTTTTCGGGCGTTGTCTTACGTCGGGCCTGTCCCTCGACAGAGGAACATTCAAAAATAGTAAAAACAAACAGTCGGGGGACGTTTTTTTTGTTTGACCAGTCTTTTGAATCTTTCTGGGCATGTCTGGGGTATCCTTTTCGGTCAAGCTCCGCCTGTGAGGGGGACACGCCCGATCCAAGCGTTGTCGCAGACCCCCTCCCGTTTTCTCGTCCCAGGATGCTCTCCGGCGGCCGCGCCTCGCCGAGACGCCGCTGGGGGGGGCCCAGGCCGTCCGAGTGGCCGCCTGGCCTGAAAACCACTGGGGGAACTGCTCTCAGGTTCGAGGTTCGAGGATCGGGGTTCGCTTTTTGGGACATGAAGAACGACATAAATACAATAACTCGGAGGTCCGCGCGGACATCCGAGTTTTTATGTTTATGTCACTTCTTGTCCCCCTAGCTTTTAGGATGCTCCCCGATTAGGCTTGCCTCAGGGGCTCCTCCTTGGTCAAAGCTTGGTGCCTCCTATGGTTACTTTGCCCGTTCCTCGGGGGTTCCTCGGGTTCCCCGGGTTCCTCGGGTTCCCCGCCGCCACCGCACCAGGCTCGACCGTGTCACGCGCTCGCTGAGGTACGCACATGCAGTCATGCCACCACGTCGGTCTCCACCATGTCACGCGTTCGGTGATGCTCGCAGCCGTGTGGCTCACACTGGCAGGAGCTTTTGGAGAACAAGTGTGGCCTTGCTGCGCGCGAAATCTATCGTTATGTCTGGCGTGTCCCCCTAGAGGGGGATTTTCGACGAAAAACAACAAATACCAAAACAAATCAAAAAGTAGTCCAAAATTGGTCTGGGGACGATGTTTTTGGGTATTTTTTTGGCCTTTTTGGGGTATATATTTTTTCGTCGAAGCTCCCCCTTGTAGGGGGACAGGCGAAATCTATCGCAGCAGCCTCTTCCCTCTGCTTCCCTCCGCCCTCGGGGCCGGGCCTGGCACACCCAGCTCTCCTCGCCAGTTTGCGCGGGCGCGCCGGGTTTTCGTTTCGTCGAGCTCGCTCCGGGCGCACTTTCGGAAGGGGATCTTCTGCTTCCTCCTCCTCCTCCTCCTTCTCCTTCTCCTTCTCCTCCTCCTCCTCCTCCTCCTCCTCCTCCTCCTCCTCCTCGACATTATCAGAAGGGATCACCAGCCTCGAACTTATCCCTATCCCTAAGATTGACACGCGCAAAGGCGACGACAATCTCAGGGGTGCGCCCTCGGAAACGCAGGGAGTCCCTGAGATCGGCGTCGTGATGAGGCGATGCCCAGCGTAGGGACAGGGATATGTTCCAGGCTGGTAAACGGGAATCTTCTACTACTCGGGGTCGTGCCGGGTTCACTTTCTTTCGATCGTCCCGGGGCGCCCTCGTGGCCACGGCTGCTCCGCCTCGCCATTCGGGGCAGAGCGCGCCCCGGGTCAGGTCCAGAGGAGGTGGCGGAGGAGGAGGAGGAGGAGGAGGAGGAGGAGGAGGAGGAGGAGGAGGAGGAGGGGGCGGAGGAGGAGGAGGAGGGGAGGAGGAGGAGGAGGAGGAGGAGGAGGGAGGAGGAGGAGGCGAGGAGGACGAGGAGGGAGGAGGAGAGGGAGGAGGAGGAGGAGGAGGAGGAGGAGGAGGAGGAGGAGGAGGAGGAGGAGGAGGAGGAGGAGGAGGAGGAGGAGGAGGAGGAGGAGGAGGAGGGGGCGGAGGAGGAGGAGGAGGAGGAGGAGGAGGAGGAGGAGGAGCAGGATCAGGAGGAGGAGGAGGCGGAGGATGACGAGGAGGAGGAGGAGGAGGAGGAGGAGGAGGATGAGGAGGCAGCAGCAGCAGCAGCAGCAGCAGCAGCAGCAGCAGCAGCAGCAGGAGCAGCAGCAGCAGCAGCAGCAGCAGCAGCAGCAGCAGCAGCAGGATTGACCTCTGATCAGGGGCAACGTGAGGGGGTGGATAGAGTCTGGGGGGTCGAGCATCGACCAGCCGCTCACCCATTCACTGCTGACAGGGGCCACCCCGTTTTGGAACGCGTGGACTTGCTGTCGGAGCTTTGTCGCCGATCAATCGGCGATGTGCCGCCGACTCCAGGTCGATGTTCCCCCCCCCCGAGCTGGCTCCCCCTAACGTTCACATCCATGTGCGCGCCGCACGTTCATTGCGATGCTTGTTTTGCCCCGAACTGACCACTCTTCGCCATCTCCTCGATTTGGCAGCCGACGGCGACCGAAAAGTTGCGGTCGCCAGCCGGTCATGCACGGCGTCTGTTGGCAGAACTGATCTTTGCAAGTTGCAGCGCGCCCCGCGTGCTCTGGCTAAGCCACGCCGCGGCGTCGTGCGGGACGTCCTCCCGCTGCCAGCTCTCTCGGCGCCAGTCGCGTCGGTGTCTGCTCGTGTGCCGGGGGAGGCCGGGCGCGGAAGCAAGCTGCCTCTCGTCAGCGCGCTTACGGATTTGCAATGCTCTCGCCCACAGCTTCGCTTCGGCACTAGAAACATGCTTCCTGCTGCGAGCTGTTCGGCTTTCGGCCAGACATAGTTCCAGAGACGCTGGTGACGGGCTGGAGTTTTCCGTGCGCGTTTACGTGCGCGCGTGCGTCTTTTCTGGTGTGCGCATGCAGGTTTGCAGTCCGCGCAGAGGGACGTCGGACATTCGACGCAGAGGCTCCTCACCAAGAGGAACACTTCACCCGCATGCTTAGTGCTCATCATCATGCTCATGATCAGGGCCGCCTCGTGGCAGGGTGTGCGTACCGTGGATACCTCTCTGAGACCAGCGGTGGTGGGCCTGGGCTAGAGCTTTCTGCGCGCGCCTACGTGCGCGCATGCATCTTCTCTGGTATGTCTTTGCAGGCCTGCGACTGCCTGGCGGCAATCCACGCAAAGCGATATCGGACATTCGGCGCCGTTGCTCCTTGCCTGGAGGAAAAGCTTCCTGCAGATGACTCTGCTGCTGCTGCTGTTTCTGATGATGATGCTGATGATGATGACGATGATGGAGCAGGGAGGAGGAGAAGCAGAACGAGGAACACAATCATGTTGGTGAATTTGATGATGATTGTTGTGGGGATCGTGATGAAATGGTGATGGTGATGATGATGCTGCTGATGATGAAAGAAAGGATGAGGATGAGGATGATGATAATGATGATGCTGCTGATGATGATGATGATGATGATGATGATGGTAATGATGATGATGATGATGATGATGATGATGATGATGATGATGATGATGATGATGATGATGATGATGATGATGATGATGATGATGATGATGATTCTGATGATGATGATGATGATGATGATGATCATGATGATTATGATGATGATGATGATGATCATGCTGATGATCATGATGATGATGATGGTGGTGGTGGTGGTAGTGGTGGTGATGATGATGATGGTGGTGGTGGTGTTGATGATGCGGATGACGATGATGATGAGGAGGAGGAGGATGAGGATGAGGATGAACATGAGGGTGATAATCATGAAGTGGGACGATGGTGATGGTGGTGGTGGTGGTGGTTATGATGATGTTGAGGAGGCAGCATGCTCGACTCCGTTTCGTACTCGATTATCTTGCCGCCCGACCTATCGACAGGGTAGTAGAATGGGATGATAGGGTGGCAGCTGGATGGCCCACGTGAGAGGAGGCGTGGAGGATGACGGTGGAGGCACGGGGGACCCAGTATGGGCAGGTCGTGGACTGGATCTCCAGACGCGTTGGCATCGAAGCCTACGAGCGGTCAGCGCAGGATCCCTCCCCTCATTGCTGTGCTGGGTAGCTGGCGCGAAGGGGGAATTTTGAAACCCGCAATTGCGAGCATTAGTGGAGGGACGTCGGGCAGCCTTGCCAGGGCGGCAGGGCAAACAATCGCCGCGGGCCTGGGTGTCCTAAACAATGAACCCGGCGCATGCTGTGTTTTTTTTTGCTAAGCAATGTTACGTTCGAAAGCTGAAGTAACCTGTGTTTTGTCGCTGGCGCCGATTTTTCACAGCCAGTACTCCGCAGGCGGCGTTCTTCGGGGGTCAGGTCTCGCGGATGGACTGCGAGCGCAGGTCGAGCCTGTGGGTCGCGGGTAGGTCGCAGGTGGGTGGATGGATAGGTGGGTGGGTGGGTGACGGCAACAAAATATATGCAACACTTATTTCCCAACCGTCCTGTGATGTTGGGTCCTCGTTTTGAAGAGACTGCGCCCCGCGTCTCACCTCCTGCCCCCCTCCCCCTCCTCCCTCCCCCCTCCCATCCCTGCCTCTGTCCTCCGCGTGTCAACCACTTCGGCACACCCAGTACAGCGGTTCGTGGCCCCATAACTAGGGCGCTCCACCGAAGGCCCCAGTGGCAGGGTCCACATGCGGTTCACCGCCCCATTTGGGCACACCCCTCACACGTTTGGTGTCCCCATAGGGAGCTCCACCGAAGGCCCCAGTGGCAGGGTCCATCTGCGGTTCCCCGCCCACTTGGGCACACCCCTCACACGTTTCGTGTCCCCATTGCGAGCTCCACTGAAGGCCCCAGTGGCAGGGTCCACATGCGGTTCCCCGTCCATTTCGACACACCCCTCAGACGTTTCGTGGCCCCATTGGGCGCTCCATCGAAGGCGCCAATGGCAGGGTCCACATGAGGTTCCCCACCCATTTCTACACACGCATCACACGTTTCGTGGCCGCCTAGGGAGCTCCACCGAAGGCCCCAGTGGCAGGGCCCACATGCCGTTCCCCGGCCGTTTCGGCGTGCTCCACCGAAGGCCCCAGTGACAGGGTCTACATGCGGTTCCCGCCCATTCCTACACACGCATCCCACGTTTTGTGTCCCCATCCGGGGCTGCATTGGGGGCCCCTGTGGCAGGGTCCACATGCGGTTCCCCGTCCATTTCGACACACCCCTCACACGTTTCGCGGCCTCATATGGAGTTCCACCAAAGGCCACAGTGGCAGGGTCCACATGCGGTTCCCCGCGCAGACTGGCACACCCCTCACACGTTTCGTGGCTCCATAGGGAGCTCCACCGAAGTCGCCAATAGCGGGGTCCACATGCGGTTCCCCGCCAGTTTGGGCACACCACTCACATGTTTCGTGACCACACAGGGGGCTCCACCGAATGTCCCAGTGGCAGGGTCCACATGCGGTTCCCCGCCCAATTCTACACACGCATCACACACACACACACGTTTCGTGGCCCCTTGGGGAGCTCAACTGACGGCCCCAGTGGCAGGGTCCACATGCGGTTCCCCGCCCATTTGGGCACACCCCTCACACTTTCCTCGTGGCCCCATAGGCAGCTCCACCGAATACGGTGCCCACCACGCGGTAGCCTCAGCTGCGTATCGTTGGGCCTTTCGCCGGTGTCATGTTCAGATTGTTCGCTCCTGTTTGCTCGCGTGCCAGTCAGTATGGGCACCCCTGGTCCCTCGATTCCCGCCTCTTTCTCTTCGATCGCGCCAGCTTTGGTGGGATTCCTTCTCCTTGTGGGGGTGGGCGAACTCAGGCGAACGGGCGAGGAAACCCCCAAATGGCGGTCGCGTCGGTTCGGATGGGCCCTCCTTCGCGCGGTCGCGCAGACGCAAGCGGGCGGGCAACCTGACGCGCGGGTGGGCGAACCCTAGCAGGTGCGCGGGCGGGCTGGGCGGACCCTGGCAGGCCGGGTTCTCGAATAGAGGAGCAGGCGAGCCCGAACGCGTGGGCGAGCGGGCGGACCCTCGTGGGCGGAAGGGCCCTGACGGTCGGGCGAACCGGAACGGGCGGGCCGAGCGGGAGGGAAACCGAAACGCCCGGCCAGAGAGCGCCGATTCTGCAGTGTTCCGGCTGCATTGCTGCGCACATCCGCCACCGCAAGTGTAATCCCACTTCTGACGAATGAAGCCTCCTGGCGGCATCCTGTGGGCACGGCACCATTGCAGCTGCAGTGCAAAAGGACTCGTATCCCCACTTTTTCCACTCGTGTCCTACGTACCTCTGGGTGTATGACTTCTTGCCTGCCTGCTTGCAAATCCGCCACAGCGCTCGCGAAAGGGGCCCAGCGAGGCCGCAGTGCGGCAAGGCGCTCCATGACTTGCGAGCCGCGCTGGGTCGTCGACTGGCGCTCTCCCCGAGGGCCGCTCTCGTGCCACGCCCCCGCCCCGTGCCTCCAGGGGAACCCAGGCGCTGGCCCGTCGCCGAAGGCACTGGTCGGGGCGTGGGCCGCTCAGCCTCGCGCCTGCACTGCGCGGGTGGGTACCTGGCCACGGGAGGTGCGGTCCTCTGCCGGTGCCTCTCGGGGGCGGGTGCCTTCGCAGACCGCGTCCGGCGCCTCGACGGGCCGTCTTCGGCCATTCTTGGGCGCCGTGCCTTCGCGGGTTGTTTTGGGACTTGCTTGCTGCCGCTTCGGAGCGCGCGGCCGCGGGTCAGTGCGATTTCATGGAGTCTCTTCCATGCGCCGTTGAAGGTGGAGACGGACGGGACGGCAAACGTGAAAAGCAGCCTGTGTCGGTGAAGGTGGACACAGAACGGACATCAACATGAGAGACAGCCTTTGTTGACGTTGCTGGCTGCGTTTGCCGAAGCCCTCGCGGGGCCTCTCGACGGCCCCTTCGGGATCTTTTGGGAGACTCTCGGGGGTTCTTTGGGGCTTCTTCGGGTCTTCTCGGAGTGCGTCGCGGGCCCTCTTGAAACCTCAAGTGGAACTCTCTTGGGGCTTCCCTGAGCTTCTTGGGAGGCATCGTGGAGCTTCTTGTGGACCTCTTGGGCCTCCTCGGGCTTCTCGGGGTCCTTTGTGGGGCCTCTTGGGAACTTCCTGAAGGTTTTTTGGGTCTCTAGAAGCCGTCCTTGGTGCGTCGCGGGGGTCTCCCGGGCCGTATTGGAAATGTCTTGGGACGCCCGGCCAAAGTGCGCGAAACCAGAGAATTTATCAAGAGACCTCGCGCTAGATGGCGATTCCTGAGTGGCGAGGAGGATGCGTGTCCTGAGTGTGTGGTAGAACTTGTTTCGGCGAGAGCACGATGCCTGAGCGAGCTTCAAAGCAGTCTCAGGCGATCGTACGGTGCCTGAGCGGCGACACGGCGATTCCAGTTGAATTGCAAACAAGTTTCCGGCGAGAGCGCGATTCCTAAATAAGTTGCGGGGAGATCTCAAACGGGGGCCGATGTTCTTGTAGTAGTCCAGGTGCCCAGCAACCCCTGTTGTGCCCAAAGCTCTCCCCTGGCAAAATGGGGAGCAAGAGCCGAAGGTGGCACTTCACTTGGGAAGAACCAGGGGGCGCCTGACACAGGGATCAACCGTCGTATTTCTTTTCAGACGAGGCATCAATAGGAGCTTGCACTCCAGGGGTCCCAGCGGATTAAAGACTAGGTTAAGGTTGCGCTTCGATTTCGTTAGGCGGCTGGGTTGCCCAGGTTCCCGTTTCTTGGTTCCAGGCCGATTTCGGTGGGCGGCCAGGTTCTAGGGTTCCTGTATGCCTGGGTCTGGGGTTCGTGGCCCAGTTTCTCGAATTCTTTTTTCTGTCTTTGCAACCACGGTCGGAATCAGAGACGCGCTAGTATGGAGTAAAGAGTACATTCAGAGGGCAGAGGCAATTTTTGCACAATTTAGAATCGTCGACTCTACGGCTCGTGCAAGAATCCTCGCCGCCCACCGCAATTTGCTTGGCAGAACCCATTCGGACACGCTTTCGGTTCCCGACTGGAACTTGCTGGCGCGTCTCTACGGCGGCACTGGCGCGCGCACCCTAGCGCGCAGGTCGACCCAGTGGCTTGGCACAGCTGGTGCGGCCGCGATGGCGCATACCTTTCCGGGAACTTCCCAGCGCGTTTCAAAAGGCCGCGCCGGTGCGCTGGCACGTCAGTGCGGGTCGGTGACTCGGGCGGGCGCGATATCATGATGACGTCGGTAACGGCGGCAGCGATACTGATACCAGCAACGGTGGTGGCGATGATGACAACGACAACGGCAAGGCCAATCACGGCGCTGATGTTTGTGACGACGACGGCGATGAGGATGTTCATATGTTGCTGATGAAGGTGATTGTGATGATGATGGCGGCAACCGCGGCGATTGACAGCGACGATAACGGTGGTGATGTGATGCGATGGCGCTGGTGAGGATGATGTGGGAGTGCGCGCGCGTAAGAATGGAGTAATCGAGGCACTCTTGACGACGCTTGGTTGCATATGTTCTTGAAGAGATGCTTCGAGCACGAATGGTTTTGCATCGACTTCGACGTGCGCCCACGTGGCGGCCCTCGAATGCGGGCCGCATGGTGGTACTTGACACGGATTCGTGCACTGGGCGCATGCTGGATCAATGGGATGAGATTGTGGACTCTGGACGATCTTGCCGAAACCGTGTGGTTTTCGTGTGATTTCAGCAGCTGTTGCGGGCAGAAAAACCAGCAATAGCTTATTGAGCAACTAATGCGGTTTGATGGTCTTGATGTTGAAGTGCTTGCAAGTCATGGTGTGTTTGGTCCGATTCTTACATGAGCGCGCGCGTGTGGACATTTTTTCAGTGTTCAGTTGAAGGAGTCGGGAAACGTGCTATATTCTGATCAGCGCAAATTGTTTCATTTTGTGGTTTGGCACAAGAAGGTGGCGCGGGGGAGCTCGATACCGGCTGGCAGATGATGTGCCGCGTATGTTTCGACGTTCAAGGCCCCATAGGAAGCTTCACCGAAGGCCCCAGTGGCAGGATCCACATGCGGTACCCCGCCCAGCTGGGCACACTCCTCACACGTTTCGTGGCCCCATTGGGCGCTCCACCGAAGGCCCCAGTGGCAGGGTCCACATGCGGTTCTCCGCCCATTTCTACACACCCATCACACGTTTCGTGGCCCCATATGGAGCTCCACCGACAGCCCTCGTGGCAGGGTCCTCATGCTGTTCCCCGCCATAGGGAGCTTCACCGAAGGCCCCAGTGGCAGGGTCCACATGCGGTCCGCCGCCCATTTGGGCACACGCCTCACACGTTTCGTGGCCCCATATGGGGCTCCACCGAAGGCCCCAGTGGCAGGGTCCACATGAGGTTCCCCGCATATTTTGGTAAACCACTCACGCGTGTCGTGGCCCCATAGGGAGTTCCACCGAAAGCGGTGCCCACAACGCAGTACTCGCAACATCGTATACCGAGAGAGAGAGAGAGAGAGAGAACAAGAGAGAGAGGGGGAGAGAGGGAGAGAGGGGGAGGGAGGGAGGGAGGGAGGGAGGGAGGGAGGGAGGGAGGGATGGATGGAGACAGGGAGGGAGGGAGGGAGGGAGGAATCTATGTACAGATGTGTAGTTTGGTATATATTTAGAGAAAGAGAGAGAGAGAGAGAGAGAGAGAGTGAGATAGATAAAGAGATAATGATAAAGACATGAGCCACTTTGTAGAGGGTAGACAGTTGCAGTCACAATGCGCAGCGAGCTGAGTAGGGCGATCAAGTAAACGGAACAGAGAAAGAGAGAGAGAGAGTGTATGAAGGAGAGAGAGAGAGAGAGAGAGAGAGAGAGAACAAGAGAACGGTCACCGCAGGAACTGAGATCGCGGGGCACCGCGAGTGGCGTGCTGAGGAGCAGCGAGAGGCGCGCCCAGGACTGGTCGCCGTGCCTGCTGGGCGCGGAGCTCCCGTGCTCCTTCTGGGCCGAGGCTTACTCCTGCGCCACCACCTGGAGCCAGGCGTGCCCGGGCGTCGACAACCCCGCCGGACCGCAGTACAACGACGCCGAGATCGGCGCGGCCTGCCCGAACCAGTGCGGGAAGGCCGCCGGCGCTCCGGCGCTGGAGCCCCCGCCGGCGGCGGCCGGTGCCGGCGGGCAGAGCCAGCTGTACCCGGCCCTGTGCAACCTGACGAAGCTGGCCTCCTGCTCGATGTGGGCGTCGGCCTACCCCTCGTGCGCCGTGACGTGGGCCGAGGCCTGCCCAGGATCGGCGGCGAGCGAGGGGGGGAAGCGAGAGGCAGGAGGACCTCTCAGCAGGCCGGGGGGCTCGCTTCTCAGGAGGAGGAGGAGGAGGAGGAGGAGGAGGAGGAGGAGGGGGAGGAGGAGGGGAGGAGGAGGAGGAGGAGGAGGAGGAGGAGGAGTTGGAGGAGGAGGAGGAGGAGGAGGAGGAGGAGGCGGAGGAGGAGAGGAGGAGGAGGATGAGAGGAGGAGGCGGATGATGATGAGGATGATGATGATGATGATGAGATGATGATGATGATGATGATGATGATGATGATGATGATGATGATGGATGATGATGATGAATGATGATGATGATGATGATGATGATGATGATGATGATGATGATGATGATGATGATGATGATGATGATGATGATGATGATGATGATGATGATGATGATGATGATGATGATGATGATGATGATGATGATGCTGCGATGCTGCTGTGATGATGATGATGATGCTGCTGCTGCTGATGATGATGATGATGATGATGATGATGATGATGATGATGATGATGATGATGATGATGATGATGATGATGATGATGATGATGATGATGATGATGATGATGATGATGATGATGATGATGAATGATGATGATGATGATGAGGAGGAGGAGGAGGAGGAGGGGAGGAGGAGGAGGCGGAGGAGGAGGAGGAGGGCGAAGGAGGAGGAGGGCGAAGGAGAGGGAAGGGGAGGAGGGGGAGGAGGAGGAGGGGGAGGAGGAGGAGGAGGAGGAGGAGGAGGAGGAGGAGGAGGAGGAGGAGGAGGAGGAGGAGGAGGAGGAGGAGGAGGAAGGCCCGCCCCCTCTCGGGCGCCGAGTACTCTGTGGGTCATGCCTCGGCTCGCCGGCGGCCGCTCGGGAGGATCCCGGCACCCCTGGAACGCCCTCGGCGAGGCGCAGCCGCGGGAGAGCATCCTGAGGCTGGACAAACCGCTGAGAACCTTCGGAAGCGTCCGAAAACCTCGCGACCCGAACCTCGAGCCTGGTAAGACTTCCCCCCCGGGCTCGCCGCCGACAGGAGTGGACAACCCCAGCGGCCCGGAGTACAACGGCATGACCGTGCAGCAGAGCTGCCCACGCCAGTGCGCCGAGAAGGCCGCGGCCAAGGACTGCATCGGCTCAGCGAACGGCGCCACCGACGCTGGCGACTACGACTGCAAGCTCGGCTACACTTTGCCCAACTATCCGGCTGCCTACGGCAAGCCCCGCCACCGTGCCCGGGTTGGGGGTCTGAAGCCTCTGGGATGGTCGCTGGGATTGTGGGAGGCCTCTCGGGGGCTTCTTGCAGGCACCCTGGGGGCATCCCAGGGGCCCTGGCCTGCCTCCACGCCTCCGCGTGCCACAGGCACGGCGGCGGACTGCGGCTTCTACGACGACAGCGACTTTACGGCCGAAGAGATGTGCTGCGAGTGCGGCGGGGGCGGCCTCCCGGACCGCGGCCCCCGGGGTGCGACGCAGCCGGACCAGCCAGAGGAGCCAGAGGAGGCCCAGGGGCAACGACGGGGGGGATAGGCATATGGGGGTGATGCATCGACCCCGAATCGCCCACTGATCGCCGATCGTGGCCCAATAGCCCCAACCTGCCCAGAAGCGTGCGCTTCACTATCGGGGGCCTACCGCCGATCCATCGGCGATGTATATCGCCGATTCCAGGTCGATGCTTCCCCCCTGAGTTTCTTGGGTTTCGATGCTCCTGCTATGGAAAGCGTGACGCTCCCACACCAAAAGCCGACGGACGCCCAGGGGTCCAGGGTTGGGCTTCTTGAGGAGGGTTTCTTGTGGTCGAGCTCCTACTGTATCCCCACCCAGGGTAGGTTCTCGTCATACGGCGGCGGCCCCGCCGCGGGCGTTCGAGGTTGAAGGCAGCCAGTGGCCCAGAATCGGCCACTACGGAACGATCTGGCGATGGACAGACCGCCGATCGCTCAAGGCTGCCCGATCCACGCGGTGTCAGAAGCCAACGCCATGGGTTGGCACGACGCGACCCCGCCGCAGGCGGGCAAGTCGGCCAGCGGGCCAAGGCCACGCCGGTGGGGATAGGGATCGGTCGAGCGATGCTCAGTGGCTGCGGGCTCACGGGGGCTCCCCACAACCGGGTGTGGGAACTCGGCTGTGGCGCGCTGGAGCTCCCGCGGAGCCCCCGAAACCGCCGCGTGCACCTGAGGCCACCCCCTTTGCCCTGCGGGCCGCTCCAGCGTGCAGCCGACCAGGGCGAGCAGCGGGGCGAGTGGCGGGGGCCCGCCTCGCAGCCTTCAGAGCGGGGGCGAGTGGCGGGGGCCTCGAGCTCCAGAGGAGGAGGAGGAGGAGGAGGAGGAGGAGGAGGCGGAGGAGGAGGCGGAGGAGGAGGCGGAGGAGGCGGAGGAGGCGGAGGAGGAGGCGGAGGAGGCGGCGGAGGCGGAGGAGGCGGAGGAGTCCTGCTGTATCCTTGCCCCTCCGAGGCGCCGCACTCCGCCCTCCCGCCCTCGCCGCCGGCGCCGCCGGCGCATGCCGCGCCCCTGCCGGCGCCGCCCGCGGCCCCGGCGGTCCCCTCGGCGGCCTCCGCGGCGCTCCTGGCCAGGGCCGCGGCCGGAGACCAGAGGCTCCTGGTCTCCTCCACGGCCGCCTTTGCCACCGGCGACATGGTCACCGTGGCCGGCGGCGCGGCCAGCGAGACAGTCACGATCTACCTTGCCGACAGGAGATGTTTTTTCTTACCCTCTGGGCCACGACGCGCGTGGCGCCCCCCTTCCCCCCCCCCTTCCCCCATAACGCAATGCTCCCCCCTCAAGTGCGTCCTCGGCACTGCCGCAGTGCGTCCGCCACCATAGTCTGGGGGGGGGGCGCTACGTTATGCCTCTCCCGTCCCCCCCCCTCCAGAACCCCTTCCCCCCACAACGCCCGTTATGGCCGCGACCAAGAACAATGCCCTCCAGTGAGCCCCTGTACCTCCAGGTCAAGGCTGGGCTGCACGGCGCGTACCCAGTGGGGTCGATCGTCACGGAGAAGGTCCCAGCGCAGACGTACTGGTGCCACGACCAGCTGCAGTTCGACTGCGGAGTCTGGGCCGCGTCGTTCCCCTGCACGTACTCCTACAGCGTCGTGTGCCCGGGCAGGGACTCGCCCTACGGCTCCGCCCTGAACGGCGTCGCCCTGTCGACGATGTGCCCCAGCGAGTGCGGGCTGCCGAAGGCCACCGCGAGTAGCACGGCGACGACCTCGGCGGCCACCACGCCTGCCGCGCCCCCCACGACCACCGCAGCGGAGGCGACCACGGCAGCCCCCACGACCACGGCGGAGACGACGGCGGCTGGCGCCCAGCTGGGGCCGCCCCAGACCTCCCCCGAGAGGGCCGTGTGGGCCACCCCGCTGCCCGCGGTGGCGCCGGAGGCGGACGCCACGGCCGACGTCCCCGACGCCGCGGTGCCCGAGCAGGAGGCCGGGAGCTCGCGGGCGGCCAGCGTGCCCGCGCAGTGGGCGTGGATCAGCAACTTCCGCATGGCTCACGGCACGCCGCTCCCGAGCGCCGGCGACGCCGGCCACGCCGTGTACCTGGGCACGGCCGGGTCCCACGCGGAGGCCGAGGGGCTGGCGCAGGCCTCGAGCCAGGGGCCCTTCGTCGCCGTGAACTGGCGCCGCCCGGGGGCCGCGGAGGACTCGTCCGCGGATGGTGCGGTGTACGGCCTCACCACGCAGGACGGCTGGCAAGGAGAGGGCGACCAGGTCCACGACACGGCCCTCCGCGTCGACCCGGCGCCGAGCAGAGGGGCACAGCTGCTGTCCACGGGCTCCCGCGGGTCCCGTGCCGACAAGAAGGCCCCCAACCTGTCGACGGTCCTGGAGCTGTCGGGGGGCCAGGAGGAGCCTGCCCAGCCCGCGGGCCAGGCGGAGGGCGACGCTGCAAGGGCGAGGGGCGCCGTGCTGGACTTCGACAGCGCAGATCAGGACTGGCGGCGCACACGCGGGGGTGGCGCGAGGTGGTTTGGCCTCCTGAGAAGGCGGCGGGGCTTCCGAGGAGGCAGGGGGCAGTGGGCTTCGTAGAAGCTCACCCGGCTTCTGAGAAGCCCCTCCGCCTTCTCAGGTACCGGCCTCCCAGATGGGGTCCGAGTGGATGGGGTTGGGCGATGGCGCCGCGTCAGCGATGCATCGGCGATGCGGCCCGATACGGAGCCCGATGTTCTCCACGCCAGCTGCGCCGATGCATCGGCGATGCCTGGGCGACGCGGTGCGATTCTCGCACAAACGAGCGCCGAGTCCCAGAAAGAGGTGGGCAGCGGAGGGGAAGGCGAGCACCCAGAGCACGTGGCCTACGTGGTCAAGTCGGGCCTGCCCCTCTACAGTGGGGAAGATTCAAGCACAGAAGGAGCAGTCTGGGGACGATCTTGTTTTTCGCCCAGAGCCCGCCTGCAGGGGCACACGCCCGATCTAACCATACGGGGAATCCTGGGATATGTGTGGGAATCCTGGGATATGTGTCAGTTTATCTGGGATATGTGTGTGAATCCTGGGAATCCTGGGAATCCTGGGAATCCTGGGAATCCTGGGATATGTGTGGGAATCCTGGGATCTGTGTGGGAATCCTGGGATATGTGTGGGAATCCTGGGCCCCTCTCATCAGCGGTCGGACCGAGGTCTGAGACCGAGGCCGGTTCGGGGAGGCCACCCTGCTGTTCTTCGTGCTCGTTGGATGCTCCTGTGCAGAGATCAGGAGGGAAAAAACGCAGGCACAATTCATCGTCGATTCCCCAGAACATCTGGGAAAATATGGGAAGTGGGGGGGAAGACGAAAACCCCCCCAAACATGGGAATCCTTTTATTTGTGTGTATTTCTTTGTGTGTCCTGGGGCCCCTTCATTCGTGCTTGTTGGATGTTCCTGTGCAAAGAGCGCACCCTCGGTGATCCTGTGGCCTGGGGTGGTGCGGCCGGCGGAGGGTCCCATGTAAGAGAACGAGCACTGACATAAACATAAACCCTCGGAGGTCCGCGCGGAGTTCTCGGGTCGGCGCTGGACCCCCCTCCCTGGCGCGCGGAGCGCGCCAGGGGCGGCGCCGGAGGCGCCGCCAGGGGGCCCCGGCGCCGATGCGAGAACTCCGCGCGGAGCTCCGAGCTTTTATGTTCGCGTAGTTTTTCGTTCCCCTAGCATGCTCTCGAAGGATGCTCTGCCGCCCCAGGTCCGACCGTGCTCTGACCACATTTGGGAGGCGTCCACTTCGAAGTCCGCCTCCCTCGCGCCATATCCTCGCCGTGGACGCCAGCCGGCAGGAGCACTCGGCAAGGGCCCGGCCCGGGCGGCACCCCGCCGCCAAGGCCGAGGAGGCCGGCGATGCGGAGGAGGCCATCGGCCACGCGCAGGTCAGGGAGACGGATGGTTTGAGCACGCTGGAGCTCGGGTTTGACGACGCAGTTATCGTGAGATGTTTGCGGCGGGAGCTCACGTCAGATTTCAGATCGAGTCTCGTCATTCTCATGATGGCCCCGTCAGGCCAACCCGAGTCCCCCGAGCCCGAGTTGTACGCCTCCCCGAGCAGAGGGGGCTAGGGGGAGGGGGGGGAAGGGGGAAGGCCTTTCAGAAGCACTCCTGCTTCTTTGAGGGCGCGGGCCTTCTCTGTAGATGTCGGGCCAGCGCCTTCTGAGGAGCAGCCTCCTTCTGAGAAGCCTTCCCCCTCCCCCTGCC